TACAAAGGCAAGACCAGCCTGAGCACAGAGGTTTCGGGGAGACGGAATTAATACAGTGGCCCGAACAGCCTTTTTTCTGAGAAACTGGAGGGAAAAGATGCTGCAAATGCAGGCTAAGTTCTGACCCTGTGGTGTGTCATGAGTGATAGGAAAGGACTGTTCAGGCAGGCACGAGAGAACCCTGTGGGTGTCCCATTTGGGCGTCACACAGGAGGGAGGAGCAGAGTTATATACTTTGCCACTTATTAGCTGTGTGATTTTAAGCAATATCACCCCACCTCTCTCTATATATATCTTCATCTGTAAAGTGACAGAGTGACAAGCTCGTGTCATCAGAATGCTTAGTTTAGCTCTGATCCTCTTTGTCCAGTCCTGTCAGTGTTGCCTTGCAAGGTTCTGCAGCGGCTGCTCTTACCCTGAGATGGGAGGGCATAGAAGGGCATTGTAGCACCCGAGGGCAGGAAGGGGTCGCTTTAAAAGCAGACATGTAGCCTACTGCAGCTGCAGACCTGCAGGCAGTTTGGTTGATGGTCGTGGAGGGGACTTTGGAGGCCTTAGCATCGTCTTAAGACTTCTTTTCCCTTGGGGACCGGGTTTGCCTTTGCAGATTAATGCTGAAGATTTGGGCTTCTGGCAAAGCTGTTTTCAGAGATGGGTATATACGTAACATATCATATAAAATAAAATGCTTTTATTTAATATGTGGGACTTCGCAGCTGTTGGGAACAGCTCTGTTGGCCTGGTATCCACGGAGGACACTAGGGGTCAGCAGAGCGTGCGGGAGGGCAGGTAGCCCGCAGTGCTGCTGGGGTGTTTCTCCCCAGCAGGATGCTCTGCTGAGTTGACTCTTCTCTGAGTTTGGTTGCCAGAGGAGCAGACAGCAAATTAATGAGTTCTGGAGGGATTGTATAATGACAGGAAGAAAGAGGAACCCTTAGATTTTCGGGACTAATACATGCTTTTGGTTCCTGATCCAGTGTGTCCCATTACAGAATTGATGATTTGTGTCTATTCTGGGACTTCATTGAAATAAAAGTTCAGCCTAATGTTAAGGGCTATGTTTTATTTGTCTGGAGGTCTCGAGCCAGGATGACATCCTCTCAGATCACTCTGAGGGACTGCTCCCAAGAGTAGGGGAGAAGCTAGGATTATATAGGAGCTTTACAACAAAGACCAGGTAGTTTGAACAATAAAAAATTGCTTGTTATCTAAAGAAACCCAGGTATCTCAAGTTCAAGAACTTAGTGCTTTTCAATAAATGGGAGAAAGCAAACATTTGTGCTCACTGAATATATTCTTTAGACAAGCACCTAGCTATCTAGGGCCAGTAATCTGTCCTTCCTTATTCTGAGTCTGCCCAGAGGGCACCATTGTGAGTTGCTGCAGGCCTGTCTTCACTGGGAGGTGGCGGCAGCCGCTGATGACTTGGTTTCAGCATTCTTTGTTTAGTGTCATGGTTGCAGTATTTTCATTCACATTGTAGTATTTTCGTTCACAGAAAATTATAATATTACCCTTATTATGGATAATCTGGAAA